CACAGTTGTGGGATTAAAAGATCCGCTGGCATGGACCGGTAAATCATCTTGCTGGAAATCTACACTATAGATATCGTCTCATGTCACGATGATAATGTACGATCGTGCAACTGCTTGGTTGCTCTACCGTGCTCTTTCCTGTAAAAAAATCTTTACTCAGTCAAGTCAGTGAATGGGTGTAGCGCAGTGAATCGGAGAGTGAGACGGAAACTTAGCAGGAGGCGGTTAAAAGAGAATGTCTGCTTCAGTGCACGGGCGACCCGTGGGTTTGAATACGTTTACAGCAGTTCCGGGCACTCAGCTGCGGAAAGTATTATCGCAAGCATTAACCGAGCCATTGAATGAACCATGCAATGCAGAGGAAATTACTTCCAAGTAGACAAGCGAGCATAGATCCACAACTTCAAATCAGCTGTTGCACTGACTAAGTGAGTATCGCCCGACTTTCAGCGTTGATCGACAGCCCTGACACACCAGTCGACGGAAAACTCGCAAACTAGGGCGATATAGATATAGGCGAGTCGGGTTACAGTATAAAGCCAAGGACTTTTGAATCTCAGCCTTTGCTATAAACAATACCGGAGGTAGTTGTCGAAAGAAAAGTTGTGATCAGCGCACACAGCAGCAGAAACTCAACCGGGACAAATTAACGCACAGTAGTTCATGGGTCAACACCGGGCTCATTCAACGCAAGATTTTTCCGGCGCCAGATTTGTCAGCTAAAATGTCTATCAATATATCGTATCATTAACATCAATCTGTCCTTATGAAGTCGCATAAACCTTAAAGTGAGTTATAATCGACTTACCTCTGATATTTCTGAAAGGTATTGAATATGTAAACTTCACCCAGACACCGTGCAGCTAATTTGCATATTAATGATATGCCCCTTCTAAGGAAGCCACCTCATTTGAATAAATCTTTCTCAAAAGTCTCCTTTTAAAGACATTATATTTTACCCATGCTCACTTGCTTGAGTTGACGTACATTGATTTTTAAAAAAAAAAACAAAAAACTATTTTTGGCATTAAATAAAATGTTCAAATAGAACGCACAGGAAGAAACTTCTTCCCTGGCCTAGAGATAATAAGACATCTCTGTTTATTGACGATTGATGGCGCTCGCATAAAAAACACTTTTGTGTAAGAGTACATGGGCATGGTCGAAAGAGCATCGTCTACGTTGAAAATCGTTTCGTCGAAAAGGGATGTCGTGGAAGGATGTGTGTGGTCACAATCCAGTCGAACTACATGGTGTGACCCCTTGGTGGTGACTATCTAAACACATATACACCACTGTTCTATTAACGTAACAAAATACTATGTACTCAACCCTGTAAGTAGTACTAGTATGCGAACTTGATTTCGGGGAAATAAAAAATATCCTAGGTGAAGAAAAATAAATAAAGACAACTCTACAACGTCAAGGTATAAGGGAAAGCGTGGATAAAACATGAGTCGTCTGGCATATGTTCTTCTAAAGTCAAACTTAACCGTTATAAACATTGCGCGTTAGGTTTCTGCACTATAGTATTTCACGAATATTAAAATATACACAAGCAAGTCGTTGTTTTATGTGCATTTCTGACTTGTTCGAGTGCATTAAGGTAGTGCAATATTTCAGTTAAAATTCATGCAAATCGACTATTATCAGCTTTGGCCTCGGGTTTACGCTGCTGTAGCGGTTGGAGTCTTATAACTTATAATTTGATTTCTCACAACGTATGCAATCACCCCAGTGTGGAGAGCTGGAAATTAACGATGCAATGGGGGGGGGGGTAGAATGAAAGCTTTCTCATTTCAAGATGTGTTCCTACAAATAAATCATAATGTATGTTCTACTAAGTTTTACGATAAAATGGAATAATCAATTATTCTTATTTATGAGGTGACATTTCATCATCTTCTTTCGTTTATGAATTTCACATACTACTTTCAAGATATTAGCATGTAGATCATATGATGATATCTGTTGTGGACATTTCGAGACTATGGGGTTGGTCCCAAATTTTAAGTTGTTCTTCTCGCTACATTGTGAACAAAAATAAACAAACCAAATAAATACAATTTATACTCTTCTTCAGAACCCCGATAACTCCAACTGGATCCTCCCCTCGTTGCTATATTTCGTGTATCGCTTTTTTTTTTCGCAAACCCAAGCAGACTTGGGAGCAAGTTTGTGGGAACACTAGGTGATGGTCAAACAAATGAAATGTTAAACAATATAGCTTTGATCCAAGATTAATGGAAATTTAAAAACTATTAAAAAGAGTTACAAGGAGAGCCGTTAGAAGACATAGTAAAACAGCGAGCAATCTCGTGAAATTTAAAGAAAAAGTCAAGGCTAACAACATAATACTCCCAGATGTGCGGCAAATGTAAGCACATGCAATTTACAGTTTATTTATATCACTTTTCATTCTCTAGATATTCAACTTTTCACCAGTATTATATAGTCCACCATCTTGGTTCTTCAGCAAAGGATTATGCCGGGGTAAAGTATGACATCATATCCACTGTTGTCAGAAATTGAGAAAAAATATTTTACTGTTGCGCAGACCAAACTGAGACGTTAGTAAGTTTTAACTGTGTAATTTATGTGGTGATTGGAAGGTGTAGAAGGAGCCACCGTCGGTAATTGGTGCACGTTGCACCCAGGTCAAAACTCGAACTCGTGATTTCCATTAAAAAAAAACGCATTGCACTATGGGAAAATCAATATTTATCAACACAAATGTCGGACATGCGCTGCTCAACGACCACTGCCCTTTAAGGTAGCGAGAAGGTTTTGTGACGTTTTTAAATAAAACATTCTCTGTCTGTTGTCTCGTTCAGAACAGTAATTTAGGTTATATATATATCAAAAGACTAAGTATAGAGGTGCAAGTTCGCACAAACTGGACACACATTGTTTACATAATTATCACGTGACATCAAAAATGGCGAACCTTGTAAAAATGACTAAGTAATGCTGACAATGGACGTTAGATAAACACGCATTGTTTGCAACTGGAAGCTTATCACCCGTTATATCAGAATCGTCAACAACAGAGTATACAGATAAGATGTTATCATTTAATTCCTTCCAAAGATAAACACTATGCAAATATCCACGAAACGGCAGTTGTAGTCTTTTCTGCTAGTGTTTTAAAACACTAATTTGAGCAACGTTATTTCGCAATTTCGATATTTTGTAAACCTGGGGTGATGTATCAAGGTCTAAAGTAACCGTTTTATCAATTTTTGAAAAATCAAGAAAAAAGTGAAAATTTCCCTTCTCGCTACCTTAATTTCACCGTATTTCAAAATCCAACTTATAAATTATCTTTGAGGGTGGATATTGACACAAAACGCAATCCTTATAATACACAATATAATCTACTAAAGGAAACATGAACGTATCATAACTACATACATTTTGTAATGAGCAAAATCATGAATGTTCGGACTATCTTTTGTAGCTCCTGTAACTTAACATGGACTTTCTTGAATGACAATGTTTAGTAAATTCTTGATGCTGGTAGCCAATTTGAAAAATGTTATATTTGGAAATAGTGCATATTTAATGATTTATATTATTTATTGAAAGTGAATGGCATATGTCATAAATACAGCTATGACGACATTGGTCCGTATATATACAACATTATATATTTCATAATGTTGCATGCAGTGGTAATACATTATCAAAGGGATTTAGAAATAGGTTAAAATTGAGAAAAATAATTTATCATTTAGTAATAAGGTTTAGTACAACAATCAAATTTAAACGATTGGATTCAAGTTGGTGTATTGATTTGCTGTCTCGTTATCTGTGACGTCATGGCCATGCAATGGATACATGCCGTTTGAGTTCACAGCTAGGTTCAGGTATTTATATATTTTATAACATGACTTTGATGACTCAAGTAAATAAATAATTATATACACATTTAAGAATTACAAATTTCCCATCCGTTTCCATAGAAATCTGCAGGTCTGTCTCTTTCTTTACATGTAGTTAGTAGACGAGTGGTGACAAAGTCAATGCCCGATACAGATATCCCGAAAACGGCGTAACTGTTGAATTTAGTATAAGTTATATAATATTAATAATATACTTTTCCTTGAAGTCGTGCTCGCTAGTCACGTGACGAAGCGCTTTTATGACGTAAATGGATGACATGGAGGTAGTTACCAACGTCACGGTCGATATCATTTTTAAGAGATTGACTCTGTTTTAAATGACAACGACTACAGTGGGTGGCGTGGAGGTAGCTACCAACGTCGATATTATTTTGATCTGTCGTCATCTGTCAATGAAGGTGCTGTTTTAAGAGATTTGCTCTGTTCTAAATGACGATGACTACACAGCCACTGTTTCTGATTTAAAGATCGTCGCAAACCACGACCATTTAACAACAGACAAATCTCGTACATTCGTAGTGTCTTTAGACAGGTCTCATGCCACTAATTAACCAATGGCTGCTCGTAGCCATTTTAAATGCCTTGCAAGAACCAATGAAATTTTTTAAATATTTTCTTTTCTCAGGTGCTCCCTGTTTGAGGGCGTAATCACCTGGGTAAAAGGTGAGACCAACATGTGGTCTTTTGTTTACTACTCAGCGGCTGTGTACCTGTGGGTCTGTGTGTATTTGGATGTTCTAATCTTGGTGTTTTTCCAGTGATTTCTCTAGGTGCAATCCAAATACAGTACGTGTGTCTTGTTTACCTGAGATTTGCAAGAGTTTGAGCTGGCCAACATGTTGGTTATTTTCATGTGGTTGATTACTGGCATGTTGATTTCCCATTTTTGAGCCATGTTTTCAACTTTGTTCATCATTTTTTCATATAGCAATCTCGTCATATGTTAACATTGTCGTCTATGGAAATTCAATTAGTGGTATGAGCATTCGCGATAGTATGCGCCCTCATATGAAACGTAAATCAGTGAGCCACCATAGAGGGCTCTGTCACTTCCGGAACCTCTGGGTAATCACTTGGACGACAGTTATCAGGGTAATTTACGCGTCCTTGTTTACTATTTCCTTTATAACTGTGAGTAGTGGGTTTGCTTATCCTGTCAGGTAAGACAATGATCAGAAAATCATCGGGGACACAAACCATACAGCCGGAAAATAATTGTACCTTGAACAACACTAATTGGCTTAAAAATCTGTATGTTGGTTGGGTGATTTGCTGGCGCGAGCCATAGTTTTTTCTCCTCGGAATTGTGTGTATATCGGCCGTGTGTATACCCATCGTCTCTATGGGTGGTGGATATTTGTAGGATAACTTACATGCCCACAAACGTTGAGTCGAGAGTATAACTGTGGTTCTCCGTGTGTGGTTCCCTGTCCCATATCCGACCGCATACAATCGATGTCCGCGCTCACTATCAAAGAAAGAAAAACTTCGGTTTCGTGACGGCACGCGCAGATTTAGGGGGAGGTCCCCTTCAGCCCCCCCCAAAAAAGACAAATCAATTGACAAACCCAGCCCACGTCAATAAGAGCGAACCTTACCGAATTTCTGGATCCGCCAGTCGACGGTTTACAAGCTACAACAGTTTTTACTGCTAAAAAAGCCAATATTTTATACTACGTTGAAACTTGATGCTAAAAATGTATATCCCTTCTCATACCATGGTTATTTTCTGAAATGAGTGATTAATTTATTGTATTATGGGAATCGTGGTTTGCATTATTAATTAATTTGTTGACTTTTGTAGTTTTGACCTGAAAGTGAGTGTATTTGCTTTATTATCACATGCATAATGTGCATATCTCCACAGTGTGACGTAATAAAGGAAAGATTGAATAAGCATTATCACTTTCACTGTACAAGTTACCTGAAGGTTGTCTGGAGTTTCCACTTTCCAGTCTTATATATGGTCCGATAACTATGGATTGTGTTAACAATGGATCATTTTGGCAAGCTATTAACGCGTGTATTTTTGGAAATATCATTAGTTCGTCCTAAAAATTAGTTGGACTTAAAAAACAAATCATGAACAAGCAGAATCACCTCACAGTGTGTGCTAGGCACTCACATAAAATAGAACACTGGGTGCCAACTTAATTATTGTATGATGCACAGGCAATGATATATTTGTATTCAGTGTTATTTCAGCAATAGTTTCACTCCAGACTGTAGAAATTTGTGATAAAAATAAAAATATAATCCCACTAGGTTCATTAGTGTTTAATAATCCAATAATTTATATATAAATATATAAAATAAGTGTGTATTGAAAATATTATAATAAAGTTAATTAACTCAGAGTGGAAATGGTTTCTATCATCCATCAATGTGTTACAAGGTGTATAGAATAATGAAATGTGAAACAGGGAAATGATATATTGTATTCAATGTCCAACTTGAGAAGGGAAAAGCAGATGCAATTGTGTAGGGGTTAGCCATTTGAAAATGGGGGAGGGGGGTTATTTGCATTTTTTGTTTTGTTTTTGGCCCTTGGCAAATTTTAGTTTCACAAAATAATCCCCCTATTCATTTTAATATGTGACACCCTTGCTTTGTTGTTGCCTGCACTCAGTGTTTTTTTATTTTTTAGTTTGATCACTAGAGGGCGATATTTCAGTCATCTCAGGTGTACCATTAATCACTAATAAATTTAACCCTATAAAGTGGAAAAGAAAATCTATGTACTGTGTTAATTTATAACTTTTTGATAAAGGTTGTGATGCCAAAATGTTAATTGAACTTTTTCTATCTCAGGTTACTGACAAATCATGTTTTATGACGAGTATTATGACAGCGTATTCAATGGTGATAACGAGGGACTCTACCAAGCACTGTCAAACGGGCACTCTGCTAATGTTATATTGACACAACGTACTCTCCACAGTAGTGCTCGCTACCAATGTGGGTGTGAGAAGACAACTCCATTATTAATAGCAGTCTCTTGCGGTTATGTACAGAATCTACGAACACTGCTTGATTGTGGTGCCCTTGTGAACCTGTTGCCTTGTCCATGCCATGATACAGCTTTGCATCTAGCATGTATGAGTAATTACAACTCCAGCGTATGCTTAGAAATACTCCTATCACATGGTGCTATTGTTAACGTACCAAATGCAATTGGATTGACCCCACTGCATATTGCAGTGCAGTTAAGTAAATACGAACTTGTACATCTGTTGCTGAATACTGGTGCTGATGCAAACAGTCGGACTCAATTGAATGAAACACCGTTAATACTAGCTGCTTCTTATCCACTTAATTTACCCATCATTCAGTTGTTACTGGAACATAAAATTGATGTGAATGCATCAGATCAGTTTCATAATACATCGCTGCAGTTAGCCACAAAACAAGTCTGCCTTGAAGCAATAAATATTCTCTTACAACATGGCGCAGATCCAAACATCATTGATATTTACCATCAATCCCCACTGTTCTCTGTTGCTAAGATACAGAAAGAGGAATTACCTCTTGTACCAGCATTGTGTCTGCAGACCCTACTTAACCATGGAGCTAACATCAAACAGATCTGTCTGAAACAGAACATACTCCAGGCAGTCGCTAAAACATGTCCATATAATATTCTGAGCATTATTATGATAATCAGCTCTTATGACTATGTTGACAATGCACTGAAAACACTGCTGCCGCTTTTTCCAAGAGAATTACAGTATCGTCATACAGAGTTCAGCAGAAATTTACACTATTTATCCTGCAATCCTAGATCTTTGCGCCATCTCTGTCGCTGTGTTATCAGATTCAATCTTAAACATTACTGCCACAACAAAATCCATCAACTTCCACTTCCAGATAAGCTTATTGCTTATCTTCTCCTTAAACCAGAAGTATGTCAAGAATTGTATTTATAGACTGAATACAGTCTTCTCCCCAGAAATTTGTCTCATGGTTGCGGCTAATTTACGTACTGAAAACTGTTTATTCATAGATAATAACTGAGATTTCATTGATAGCTAGAAAGCCTGATATTTATTTATTCTGACAGTATTGAGATATTAATTGTATTAAATACATTTTAGATCCAATTCCTTCTGTGTGCACGGTTTATCTCCTTTCACATAAAGATTGTTGAATAATAGCAGCAGTTTGCAGTTTGTTCTTTTTAGGCATATATTATTATTTATATACGGTAATGTACAGTATTACAATTTTACATGTATCTTCAAATTTTAATCATAATGGGCTTCCAATAAATGATTGGTTCAATATGTCATTGAATCTTGTTGAATATATGTTTCAAAATATATTTAATGAATTATTTGGATAGCAGTATTCTATATTTGAAGAGGAATCACTCAATTCCAGAGATTGAACCAAGTGCTCATGGGTCATTTTAGTTCACCACTATTACCATCCACTATGATAACTACAGTAATGCTTATCTTTTCCTACTTTTTCATTAATTAAATCGACTGATAAAAACAACTTTGAAATTATTGCGTTTAAATTTGCATGGTATTTCAAGGCAGCATTTTATCAGAGTCAAACTATTGCTCCTCCCACCAATTAACAGGTGATTATCTCTTGTGTGTTTATACACTTAAATTGACAAACTGATAAGACCCATTATTGTGTACGGTAGTGATGTTTGGGGTGATGAAAGCACAACTAAGTCTGCAATTGAGGATGTCCATCTTTCATTTTGTCGGTTCATTCTTGGTCTCTCCAAATTCACACCAAAAAAATGGCTGTTTATGGTGAGCGAGGAAGGTACCCCATTGACTGTTTTATCAAGAAACAACGATTTAAGTACTTCAACCGGGTAACAAACTCTGATAACCCATTGTTAAGAGACGCCTACTAAGTAAATAAGAATATAAAAAGTAAATGGTTTACAAGTGTAGAAACCCTCATGCAAGATATTGATGTTGTTACCATTGTAAACTCAAGATAAATAAGAGAAATTTAGAATTTATTCATAAAAAAATAAACAAAGAATTTGAAAACCAATGAATTTTAGACATGCATAATGATAATAGAAAACAAACCTTGGCTAAAAACAAACTAAGAACATACAGACTTTTTATACAAGATTTAAAAATTGAAAATTACTTAATCGATATACAGAACCATGGTCTTAGAAGGTTAATTGCAAAATTCAGGACAAGCAACAATGACCTTAAAATTGAGAAAGGCAGACATAATAATGTGCCTCTGGATAAAAGTGATATGTGATACATGTATGTGCAGCCAAAATATAATTGAGGATGAGCAACATTTTGTAATGAAATGTCCAGCTTACAGTCACAGGGACAAATTATTCCTGACTGCACAAAATAAAGTTCCAAATTTTGATAAAGAAAAATAATAAATTCATATTGATTATGGGAAACCATACTCGCCAGCATCAGCCTTAGCTGGCTTCTTAAAAAACTGCTATGGAACAAAACAGCAACAACTATCAGTGTATTAGCTAGGTTACAATTTGTGTTCATTCTATATTCTGCATTCACCATTGGTTGCAAATTGTCTTTATTGTTCATTCATATTTGTTTTTGATTTGTTTTATATTTTTAGAATAGGCTTTTTTCTTTTATTTTCTTTTTAGATTATAGTTTTTAAATTTTTTTTTATCCTTTTCTAAGGATTTTATGCATCTGATAAATATTATTATTATTATAAAGGATACCTGTCTTAATGAAGTTCCCTGGGTGGTTGCTATACACAGGTTTGACTACTGTGGAATACTTTATTTTTGCTGGAATTAATTTTCGCTGAAAAGACTTTTTGGACGTTTTGTATGGAATTTATTTTCACTGATTTTTGATGAGTTTAATGTGAAATATAGGAAAAAAAGTATATTCGCTGGATTTTATTTTCACGGAATCATCCCTTCAGCGAAAATAAATTCCAAGCGAAAATAAAGTATTCTACAGTATATCTGTGATATGGTTTTAAAAAGTGATATTTGATTGGATAGCGTTTATTATGCAAACCATCATCCAATGGTGTGATGCGTAACACATAAGCCAGAAACATGAACACATTACTGGAGATTTATTTGATAATTAGTGATAGTGTAATTATTAAAAAGAATTTCAAACACCAAATTCCCTTTTTTCAAAGTGCACAAAAAACAAAAATCATCTTTGTTGTTTATTGAATTTAAAAATATTATTATATTGACCATAGAAACAATTAGAGCAAATACAGTAATAGTCAAAATCCCAGATTTAATTTGGTGTTCTCATTTGACTTCATCCATATAAACCTCTGTCAGATCTGTGCTTCTATTAGAGCAAATACAGTGAAACAAATACAATGAATGACACCCCAGCTAAGGTAGTTGACTACCTAAATGTCAAAGCATTGTCAATTGTCTTTGTTTTGTTAACGTCATTACACGCCATAATTACCCGGATATAAACCACAGAAGTTGCTTCCTGCACTTCAATTAGTAAATTGATTTTGACGTAAGTTGGGGTCTCATTTAGTCTGATACCAATTCAGAATAATTTTCACAATCCCTTTGTATTTCAAAATTACTGCATATTTCTGTGATTACAAGAAGTGTATTTTATAGATATAACCACTCAATAATTGAGAAGTGTCTGCTGTGCACCTAATAATTACTTCCGTTGAGTCTGATTGCTTCTTGTATACAATACAGAATATTCTTTATTACTTTCACTTGTAATTTATTTTTAGCTATTTTCTCAGGTGGGATGTTACAGTGGAAATAGAATTCATTTTACCTTATATTTTGAACGCAATTACTCAGAAAATTTAGGGAATCATCAAATGTTTCCAACAATTCATGCATATACATAATGTTTCACAATTTCGTACAACCATAATAAAAATTAATGTATAAATGTATAGTTTTTGTCTCTATGACTATATTTTATGAAAGTTAATGCGACTCTGATGAGTGATAAATAATCCTGCAATGTGAAATGAAATCGCTTTTTGTCAGGAAATCTTCAGATTAAGTTCTTTTATTTGTATCACCATCACCCTCTGAGGGAAATCTGTACAGTTCCATGACTTTCTTGATTTACTATAATAATCCCATGAATAAATTTAATTCTCTTGCGCTGTGAAGCATCATCTAAGAAAAGAATGTCTGTTTTTTTAATTTACATTTTTGCCATGCCATTTTAATACTGGTGTCTGGGAAGATTAGACACGTCCAAGATAATGAGCAAATTATGGGTATATTCATGTTGTGATGGATTGCGGGATATACAGTAATTACAGTATTTTTTCATCGTATTCCGCTACTGAATAGATAGTGATTGAAAAGACTCCATTCATTGGATTGATCAGATGTTGACTAGTGTGAAAAGGAAAATTGATGTTACCTGAGATAGTGAATACTTCATAGTATGTATTGAATGATATGTATAAGTATGTAAATTAAGGAGATCTGATTAGTAGTTTACATATTTGCCAGCATGAACACCGAAATTTGCATTAATGTATTGGAATGCATCACACCTCTGGTATACATACATGTACATCATGTAGAAGAGTTGTTTGTTTCTATGTGTCAATGGACTTTGACGAGTCAAAGGTCCATATAATTTTTGATATTTCAGTGTAAACGAAAGTCAAATTCTGAGTACGTGCATACAAAGATTATTTTGCAGCGTGAATGCAACACATGCAGGTTTTTTTGTTGTACTTCTCAAAAGTAAAATCATGTAATTTTCATTTTGTGTTAAATATACAAGGTGACTGCAAATAATGAAAAGATCATGTTTTGTTCATTTTACTGATTTTTTTCCTATGGAATGGATATATCTGAGAATTTTGTTCTGTGATGGGTGAACAAATTAGACATTTGTATCATTTTCAATATTTTTGTTCATGACAAAATATATTTTCATTGTGGCAAAGGAAACTGTTGTCATTTTTGGTATACCAGTGTTATTATAAATGGGTTTTAATTTCACTATTTTTACTGATTAGTAAAATTTGCTAAATTAAATTCAAGTGACCATGGAAAATAACAATAGCACTAATTGTTGCTGTCACAATTTGTGAACTTGATTACGGTCAAAAATCGAAATGGTGAAAATAACTGGCTTTACAGTATTTGC